GTACGATACCTATACTTTACAAAGTTTTTTGCCTAGTCCTTTTTGGCTGTGTTTTCTCAGCTGCTTTACGTTGAACGTTTAATGCTTGTCTTCATCCGCTTTATTCCTTTTTTTTTTGTTCTCGTCATCACTCCTCTCCTACATCTCTCTGTCCACCTTGTCTTGTTTTCTCTGGCTCGTTATTTTTGTTTCTCTGTCTATCTCGTCAAGGTACTACATAATAAGCCTCTTCCCTCTGTATGTATTTTTAAACCAAACTTTCTCTCCACGAACATTAACAACGAATGCAGTCGGCAGTAGCAAAGTAAATATGATAATAGCTTGTGCATGGGACTGGCAGAAGACACCTATAGAATAATGTATTATAAACAACATGATCATGTGTCCGAGTCTTTTGCTGATCTTATAGTTGAGTGACTGCAGAACGTTCGTTGGTTAGATCCACGCTCCGAATGATCATCTTCTCAGCTCAAAAGGACGGAAGGCTCGCACCGTACATGAATGATTCTCTACTAGTGACATTCACCATCGTGATGCTCCTCGGGCCTTATTATCAACCCCATTCACCGCCGACCCCGCTAAATCCCTCATCTTCTGATTAGAACAATTTGACTAACTTCGATGATCATATACAGCAAGGACGGTTTTAAAGTGCTCCAGAATACGGATGAGTAGCGCCAACGTCAACTTCGACTTCTGTACCGCCAGTGTCGTTCTTCAGCTTACACTCATTTCATCCTAACGCCCCCCTCTCGGTGATTTGATGAGTTTCACCGGTAGCACTCCATTGACGAACCTGTATGATTCGGTGAACAAACATTCTTCTCGGGTAGCTTTCAAGATACCTCTCAGCTCTGATAGTCAAGAAGCGCGGGACAGTCCAACGATGACCAACTCTCATGAATGGAAGTACATCACGTATTCTGACTTCATTCAAGATGTCGAGCTTTTTGCTCAATATTGGAGAGGCGTTTTGCATCAAGCTGAAGTTTATCCTGGGTCTGTGATTACATTTTGGTAGGTGTTTCTCCAAATGGTTTCTGGAAAATCCTAGATTGACAGAGGTACTGCAGTTTACCAGGACATGCGTACATCGATGTACTTCATATCTATGGAGTTATGAGGGCAGGATATATTCCACAACCGCTGACCATTGTTCCAACAGCTACATTCATCATCTCATTGTTGCGAGGCTCTTGTTCCAAAGCAATAATTCACGCTCCGTCCTTTGAAGCCAAAGCTTTAGAGTTGTCTGCGCGCTTAAACATTCCCAATTACCCTGCCCTTCTTTCCATTCCTGATCGTTCTCAAGCTGTCGGGAATCGTCTTCCTGATCTTCCGACCCATGTCCGAGCTGACGATACCGCCATATACTTTCACACAAGCGGATCTACGTCTGGAATGCCGAAAATTATACCGGGAAATCACCTTTGGATACATGGTATGATAAAGAGAGCGGTGAATATGTTGAACACTAGTGGCGACACGTTATCAGGAAGTAATAAAGTGTATTCCTGGATGTAAGTGGTAACTTCGGCTTTCTGACTCCGAATCTTGAACCTTTGCACTTCAAATTTGATAGGGGCAGCGTATGTCATGCAGCACAATTTTTTGGTATCTTCGTCAATCATAAGGTCTCTTCATTCAAGTTGACATATTCCTTCGTAGGAACCATTCGAATAATAGCAGGAGGACATTCTCTGGTCCAACCTCTCAATGTGTCGAACAATCCTTTTGAGTTAATAGAATCGATACCTGAGACAGGAATAACCCAAATCACTCTATTTCCTGCTTCGCTTTCACGTATATTACGACGAGCGCGAGCAGAAGAAAGGATTCGAAATATGTTGATACAATTAGATGCTGTATCGTACGGTGGGGGAAGTATTCCACCTGAAGATGAGCAGTGGGCTCGTACGAATGGAATCAACATTGTTGTAAGTTCGAAGCTTAGATCTCACGATAATATCGAACTTAAAATGACCATGGACTTCAGAATGTATATGCTAGTACAGAATGCGGAGGTCCTATGATGATCTCGGAAGGAACGCGATTCTCTTCTCACAACGGCCTTCGTCCAGTTCAGGGTGTTCAATGTCGCTTCGATCCTATTAGCTCTGGATCAAGTGAGGGCTCTCTGGATGACGGAGTCAAGGAACTCGTCATTTTATCCGAATCCTTGGGTTGTCCTCATCCATCCCTTTGCAGCCCGGATGGTCTGTTTCATACTGGAGATCTGTTCAGAGAGATCCAATCCGGATATTATCTCAATTGTGGACGGGACGACGATTGGATCAAAATGGAAAACGCAGCCAGGTGTGATACACGGTAACATTCTTCAACCAGGCGCCGTTTTCTCCTGTTTACTGACTTTTATCCATGAGTAGCACAATCGAAGATGAAGTGCGTAGGTCATGCAAGGACTCGATTTCCGACTGCGTGGTCGTTGGAAAACATCGACCCAAACCGGCGTTGTTCGTTGAAGCCCTCCACACAACGACTGCAATCGTTTCACAGGAGTCGCAGCTCAGAAACGTGATCTTTGAAAGAATAGCAGACTTACAGAAGGATCGATATGAGACTGAGCGCATCTCCGGACCAGAAATGATTGTGTTGATACCTCTAGGGTCTCTCCCTAGGACTGAATCCAAGGGAAACATCCGACGAGCTCTTGTAGAGGAAAAGTATCACACAGTTTTGGAACAGCTGTATAACAAATCAGAATAGATAGGGCTATGATTCACCGAAGAAATTGTTGCCATTCTCATGAATGTGAATTATCCTGTTCGTATAAGCAAGAATTAGTTCGAGAATGTTCAGTCGTTACCCCAACTAGTTCCCTCGCTAGCAATGACACAAAAAAAAAACCATTTGTTGTTCTACTTCTGCAGCTTCGTGAACGTCTCTGACTCCTGAATAAGAAGTTGGACACATCTTTGGAAATACGTCCGTAATCGATCTTGAAAGATGTTCAGTTCTAACGTCATTCGCCCATTTAAGCGTTCTGAGTCACCGGTTGTCTAATGTTTCTTGGCCGTATTTCGACCGTTAGTTGAGCATGATTTAATCGAGTGCGTCTCGACCGGTATTGCTTACACGAGGTTTGGGTGATCATGCATCATGAATGGCACTACGTCACCAAGGGACTTGTCTCGAAGGGTCTACACCGTGGGCCGAGGCAGCCCAGCATGGATCTTGGCTTTCTTGCAAGTCGCACGAGTCAATGCTATGCAATTTCATGGACCTCATCAGGTCGGTTTACAAGGCGGTAATGGGAGCCCTTGTTCCTGACAATAATGAAATTCGACCATGTGAATACATATCAAGAGGGGTTTGCCAGATGGTACGAAGCTCAGGCTTAGGTCCGCAGGAAATCAGTGAGTTGACCATGTGAGGGGGCCTAATGTAAGTACCTTCCACCGGCATTTTTCCTAAGCGAAATGTAACCACACGTTGCAGGACCAAGCAGGATATCGCACGAAGCGTCGGGAAAATACTGCAATTTTGGGGAACATGCACAGTTAGTTATCTTCATGCTCCGAGGTCGGATTCTGACTACAAGCGAATATCAATTCTGTAAAAACCTTCTTCCTTTGTTGATCACAAATAACTGAGTGGCCCCTTACCCCTCGGCGCTCTTTCTTTCCTCTTCCATCACGTTTGCGACTCTTCCAGTACACCGTTATTTCCTTCAGCGATGCCCCGTACCGTGAGCATTTTCTTCCCCTACTCACTCTGGATAAATCGGACTTGGGGCTAAACCTGCACCGTCGTATGTCATCCATGAACGGTAGAAACGTAGCGAGGACGCGGATAATTCGGCTGTATGCACGGTCTGCGGTGTTGTCATTGCCAACAAAACAGATATGCCACGACATATGAAGATGCATTCTCAAGACAAAGACAAGTTGTGCGTGTCCTTTTGATTTTTATAAAATCAGACTGCTCAAATGTTCCATATACAGAATGCATCGGTGTCCATATCCTGATTGCGGCTTTGAAAACTTGCAAAAATCCAATGTGGAGACCCACATACGCACTCAGTGAGTACGAAGTAATCTTTCACTTAGGTTTTAACCTCTGACAGTCAACGTACCTTCGTTCCGCTTGTCGCCATTCTCTAGCACAAGGAGTAAAACAAGTCGTTGTCCAGAATGCGACTTCACGACTGTCGATCCCGGTTCACTAACAAGACATCGAAAGCGTATTCACGGATATGTTCCTAAACCAAGGCGCCCTCGCCAGGCTCGGACTCAGCAAATCGAATCGTCTTCTACGGCTCAGGCTGGACCATCGAATTCTCGTTACTCGCCTCAGGCACAATCGGAAGCTGAAGAGTACGAGGACTAGGCTGCCGGAGCTGAAGGTTCTCCACTTCATTTCGTCTCGGTATTAAGGAGAATAAAGGTACATACTCATCACAAACCGAATTCATTGAGTCAACGAGCATGGGCTGGGGAAGTCTGGGACCAGTCGAGGGTGTTCCTGGCTGTTAGAGTCCATGCATACGTCGTTCGAGCTTGTCTGTAGACCCAGCAAGGTCTACCAGATCTTAGATGACATTGTTCGGGAACATTAACGTCTTTGTGCTTGTGACAGGGCTTCGGAGCATCAAGGCGAAGTGTGGCAATGTTGGCTAGGCCTTTCAGTACGGGATAGCGTATTCACTGTACGTTTTATGGTGATACGACCAATACTAATGAAGAGATATCCATTCTTACTTCGGTGTGATAGCTCTCGTACGAGATTCTTTTTGAGGTAAGCAGAACAAGGGTATTTTGGCTTTGTCGGAAACGGCCGTATCCTCCCTCACTTCTGGACTGAATTACGTGTCAATGAGATTGTTTTGGTTCCTGAAGTCATGAATATGTACATAGAGTAGAGAAGCTTAAGAGGTACCAGGGCTGAGAAGCGTAATAACATTGCGCCCTGGATGATGATGTTGTACCTCAAGCAATTGTATCTGGACATACCCTGAATGATGTTGCTTAAAGTTAGGAGGTAAGATGGCCGAGTGGTTAAGGCGGTGGATTTAAGCGATTAAGTTTAGATTCCCACTGGATGATTTCCGCGTGGGTTCAAACCCCACTCTTACCAGACCTGGAGTTCCTTTTTTGATCCCAACCGAAGGTCTAGCGGCTCCACTAGTGCCTTAAACCACTCGGCTTACCTCTATAATAGCCAGAACTAAATGATCGAATAACCTTGCAAAAAAAAGATGTTTACAAGGACTTCACACCCTCGTCACTCTAATGAAACACTTACCGTCCGTCAAAATGATAGAAGGTGTCTGCATTAATCATCGATTAATTATCTTGTCATCCCGTCTTGATTGACTGGCACACGGTGATATTGATTTAGTTGATTGTTCATACCTCGAGTCAGTTCTATAAAGATTTTTGTTGCTGATTAAAGCTAGATAGTAGACGATGATTCTTTTGCTTCAGTTCCGCGTTTTCACAAGCAACTTATCTAGTGAATCTAGATAATTATAGTGACCTTTCGCGCAGTTCGAACTTCAGGATAATAAGCGATTTACGATTTCTAACTAGATTGTTTGCCTCATGGGTGCGGCCAATCATGAGTCAACTGTAATCGACTAATACAAATCTCGCCTAAATTCAAGTAGCTATGTACTAAAGAAACGTCTCTTCTCTTGTCCGAGAGAAAGTTCTAGTCTTTAACCCTTAAGGTTGATAAGCTGGTGGATAATCAATCGAGGTGTCACCTCTTCTCTTTGCTCTTTGAGCACCGTCTTTGCGATAATTCATCTTTTTCTTTGAACTACCCACTCTTCCCCGTTGCCTTTGAGGGACGGAAAGCAAAGGCACATCGGAAGATCCGGGAGACTGCGGCTGGTCTGCAACATCTCTGGGATTTAAATTGGTCTCTGTAGAAACAGAGACATCAGAGCCACCTGGTGCGACGAGATCTAAGTCGGGTTTTGGAATAGAATCCGAGTGGGTGGTGGAACAGCTCGAACGGTTACCTGAGTTGAGATCAAAGGGAAATGGGGAAGCCCGAGTCTGATTCAGTCTTTTACGACGATAACATAACCATCCCAACAGTGTGATGATCATGAAAGCCACAATTCCCCCTATCAGACTCCCTGCCAAAATGGGTGCCGTAGAGGTGGAATGAGAGCTCGAACTGTTGGTTGCGCTCGACGTGAAAGCGACAGAAGTGGATTCTGTGATGGTTGAAGAGGGACTGGTTCCGACAGAAGAGGAACTCCCACCTGTCGAAGGAGACGATGATGGTCGAATTGAAGTCGTAATGGCACTGGAACTGGTGATAATGAAAGTGCTTGTGACGACTGGGTGACTGGGTGAAGTCCCCGACGTTATTGAGTTGAGTGCATGGGAAAGGATCGTTAGGATCGTATTGAAATTTGAGGGACGTTCTGGAAGAAGTAAATTCGGGCAATCGAAGCTGACCGAAAACAAAAAACAATAGCTCTTACCCTGTGAGGAAGAGGTAATAGTGATTACTTGGATATTTGAAATACAAATCAGACAATGAGAATCTATTGGTGAGCCAAATATGCTACTTACCAGATGAACATAACTCGTCGAAGGAGTCTGAGACATCCGAGAAGTCAGATGACTGACAAGTGTCGTCGACACAATTGAGTGTGAAAGCTCTACCGCCGCACATGCAACCAGCATCATCGATTCTGTGGCCATGAAAAAACTTGTTAGCACGAGCAAACGAGTACAGACCAAGTGGACATAGCTATGCCGCTGTGGGAGAGATTCAAGGCCTCTTGGGTTGGAATATCGGAATGGAAAGCAGATCAGAGTGCATAAGAATACTCGCCCGTCACATTGTCTAACACGAGCCGTCCGCTTTACACAGCTGAAAGCACAGTCAGAAAGCGGGGCAAATGGATCGTCCGTAAACGTTATCTCCGCCATGACTCCACTGAAAACTTGTGTCAGTATGGACCCCATTTGCATAGCGTCAAACTGTCAAACGTACGAGGTTCTCTTGTGTGCAATCCAAGGACTGCAGGAGTATGCGACTACCGTTACTTGGAGGTAGAGGGGTGAGAAATAGCTGATGACGAGTCTTCAAGTCATAAAGACATAAAATATCTCGTGATGCACAGGAACTAACAAGCTACCATCAGAATATAGAGCCCATGAATCCAGGGTGGCGCTCCGATCAGGACTGATGAATGAGAATGACACTCACTGCGATCAATATATCTCATCTGTTGCAAGATGTCGTAACACCCCCACTTGCTAAGTATGTCCTACTATTTGATTGAGCTTAAGAACTTGCTAAAGTCTCTTGGCAGATCTAATCTCGTGCCAACGAAAATTTGACATGCCCAACAAGCCTTTACGATTCTTGTGTTGGAATTTTTGTAGTCACTAGTACAGCCCAGCATCATGTAGAAAATTCGGATATTCACCTACTGAACTAGAAGAATATAGAAATTTCTAGATGCTTATCACAGTATACAAGAGTCACTGTAGGAGGGATGAATAAACAATTTTCACCCCAAAGGCTTCTCCAGAGTCCCTGTGCACCCCTAACTGAGTTGCCCATGAAGATATCGGTGAGTGTTGTCAAAAGGGTATGCAAGGAGCTCTAGAGAGGCGAGTCTCTAAGAAAAAAATTGTTACTTGTCTCATACAGCCTAGGCTTCTATATACCGCTGAAATAAGTGTTCAGAAATCTCTAAATCCACTACTTATCTGCCCAGCAATGCACAGAAAAACATTAATTACTCCAGTTATAAGTTTTCGAATTTATAAAATTGCCAAAATTCCAACGGTTACAATTGAAACTCTTTTCAAGGTTGGACCGCGTTTGCAACGGGAAATGCGGAGGCCCCAATAATATAAAACCTATTCAGTAAAGCTTAAAAAATGGCCATTTCTTCCGTTGTAAATGCAGTCCATTAACGGAGAACTTAAAGTATTAAGGGAAGTAAGGAGAATCCTGCGAGGTGGTTACCTGACGGACCATGTGGAGAAATGGTCAATTACAAAGCGAATAAGGAAAGCGGAGAAAGTCACTTCACTTTTCGACGGCTGTGAAATCAAAATCAACGCAAAAAATTCCTTCGTAGTGCAGCTCACAGACATTGAAAAGTCGACTGCCATGAGAATTATGACTCATTTCTGATGAGATATTGAAGGACGCATGAGAAAAAAGCTGATAAATCTTGCTGAGAAACAACTACTATGCCTTATGACGTGAAAAGATTTGAGCAAGACCATGAAAAACAGTCATTTTAGCGGAGTCATCACGAAGATTTTAATACGCTTTGTCGATGCACAACTTACAAAGGAGGCCTGAAAGATAACGATCTGGATTGTCATCAGGAACTGGTTATAAATCTACTAGTGAAGGTTTGACGTGGAGTTTGCTCTCTTCGGTAAGAGAATCACTCCTTAAAAGCGAGCAAGAAGGGCAGACTTTCAACTCATTAACACCCCTCACTTGTCACAGCATCAAGTCTAACACAAACTATACGATGGTCCTCAAATTCTACGCTTCACCCTTAGCTACCTGCGGTAGGCGTGTAGCCACCGTTCTCTGGGAAAAGAAAATCCCCTATGAATTCATCGACGTCGACGTCTTCAACGGTGAACACAAGACCCCCGCCTACTTGGAAAAGCACCCGTTCGGTCAAATCCCGTACATCGTAAGCCATCGTTTCCTCTCTACCTGTCAAACTATACTCAAAAGTCGTCTAAAGGAAGACGATGGGTTCATCCTTTACGAGTCTCGTGCCATCTGTCGATACCTCGAAGCGAAATACCCCAACAAAGATCTCAAACTCGCTCCGTCTCCTTCAGACGTGAAAGCCTCCGCTTTGTTTGAACAAGCTGCTTCAGTCGAACAAAACAACTTTGAGCCGCATGCTAGTAAAGCTGCATACGAGTCCGTTCTTAAGCCACTGTAAGTCATCGTCTTTTTCTCTTATTTTGAGATTCCAATGCATTACGAGGCGACACTAAAACTGATTATCCTCCTACGTGAATAGCTTCCGAAAAGAACCGAAGGACGAGGCTACTTATAATGCGGCAATTAAAGCTCTTTCAGACAAGCTCGACGGTTACGAGAGAATCTTGTCCAAGCAAAAGTATCTCGCCGGAGATGTGAGATTCGCCTGAACTTACTTCCCTGCATAAGCGACATTAACGCTTGTAAATCCTCTAGGAAATCACATTGGTTGACCTATTCCACATTGTCTATGGAGCGATGTTGGAACAAGGAGGCAGCGATCTCATGACGAGTAAAGGACCCAACGTTGCTCGGTAGGTGTTTTCTCCCGTATGATCGTAATCCTATCTGTTGCTCAATTGGCCCTGGTGATTGATATTTTCCGAACTCTAGTTGGTGGAAGGATATTAGTTCTCGCGCGTCTTGGCAGGCCGTCAAGGACGGTATCCCAACCGGAAGTGTTACCTTCGACTGAATGATCTATTTAACTGGAGCGGACGAGAGCGTAAAGCATGCAACACTGCTTATAAGGTAACCACACATTCATTGTCTACGATGTGAATGAATATGTGTAGTACTCTGAGATTCAGTAATGTTCATGCCTGGATATACACCTTCAAAATACCGGGGAGAGCTCCATGAGTTTTGAAGAAAAACACCGGAAATGCTCGACTTTCCACATCCACATCATGATCATGCCCGATTCATATCAAGTTTGTCGCACAGAAGGGAATCAAAATTAAGAGTGTAATACCAACCAAAATGAGGACAAAGTTAAAAGATTGTAGAATTCACCAAGAACTTGGTCATAATTAGGTATCGTGGTGTCCACATACACTTGTGGACAAGCCTTCCAGCGCAGCCGTCTTTTATTCTTCGCCCCGGTCAGTGGTCACCAATCTGACTCCTGAGAAACTCGCTTCTTACATGCCGAGCTCGCCATCGTACCAGATCTCTGACTTCCTCGGCCCGGTAACAGTTTGATCGGTCTATTCCAGGCCTCTTGCCACACGCTTGCAGTAGCCCGCTTCACTTTGGGCAGGACCTGCTGGTTGACGGAAAATAATCACGACAATGACTAATCGCTTGATGGGCTCGAGATCATTTAATGTCTCCATAAACGCTCTTCCCCC